ATGGATTCGTCGATCAGTGCGATCGGATAGATGCTTTATTAGGGGACAGTGAATCTGACCACGAAGAGAAAAAGTGAGAATAGACCCGCTGCGGGGTAATAATGACCAAGGTGCTAATCATGGTGATGAACTACCTGAGTACATGAAAAGCCTAGCACAAGATCTTTCAAACGTGGACGCCACTGGCCCCGAGCTTTCAAATGAACAACTGTCAAATCTCATCGGGAATCTGCTAGTTAAACGAATGGCAGACGAGAAAACTAAAGTTAAAATGGACGAATATCCCCGACCTGCAAATGTCCAACTACTCTAGGCACCTAGAACCAACCCGGAGATATGGCGGAAAATTTGCCATAAGAGCAGAGACCTGCGCATGCAAAAAGCACAGGAAAAAATATTGAAAGGGTTAGTTCCCCTTGCTAGAATTCTCCAGAATATCACTTTCGTATGACAGAAAATTACGGATAACAATGTGAACGCGGTTCTGGACGAGTTGATGAAGTCTACACTCGACAGCTTTATGCTTATCAGTGCGGGTTCGCAAGAGATAAGTCAGAGAAGACGGGAACTGATCAAACCTGATTTGAACAACCAGTTCTCGTCATTATGCTCTACAAACAGCCCTGTAACAACACAGCTGTTTGGTGATGACCTACATAGGGCCATGAAGGAAATCAGCGAAACAAATCGTGTGGCTTCCAAGGTTTCGTACGGGAACTATTATGGAACATACAAGGGACAATCAAAATTCTCAAACAGGGGAAAGGTATGTGGCTACAGGGGTCGTTTCCAGCCATACGATAACCGTCCATCTAGAAGTTTTCAATATCCAGGAAAACCACAAAACGGTTAAAACCAACAAAGTCTAAAAACTTGATTAAGGGGCAGGACAGTACAGGAAGTTAGAAGCCCGTCAAACATTGCCCCAGCTGACACTTTTCCTATCTCTGTGGTAAGTGAACATGATTGGAAGTTTTTTTTTAGTATTATCAGATCAGTATTGTCTGACAAAGTTAAAACCTTCACTGCTGGTAATGTCAGTAAATTCTTGAGTATTGGAAACAAATCAGATTTTGTTATTCTGGAAAATATTCAGGGTGTAAAAATAGAATTTATTGATGAACCTTGTCATGACCAGGTTTATGGGCAATCGCAAATAAAACAATACAAATTCAGTGCGAAAGAAAAAGAAACAATTCGAACTGAAATTAGCAAGTTACTAAAAAAACAAGTTTTGATAGAAGTAGTCATCTGCTAAACATATTATGTCAAATATTTTTAAAAAGAAAAAAAAAGATGGAACTATTTGGCTCATTTTAAATTTGAAAAAATGTAAACGAATCTGTGGTATATTGACATTTTAAGATGAACACTCTACAGAGTGTTCTGAACCTTATTACACCTGGTTGTTACATGGCTTTGATTGATCGGAAGGATGCCTACTATTCTATCCCAGTACACAAACAATTTCAAATAGTTTTGTGTTTTCAATTAGAGGGCCATACTTTACCTAATGCGCTGTCTTCTGCACCCAGAATGGTTACAAAAGTTACAAAACCATTTTTCTCCACATTGCGTAAACTAGGATATAGCAATACTTCATACATTGATGATTCCCTACTCATTGGGGATAGTATTCAAGAATGTAGAGAGAATGTTATGAATACAGTGTTGCTGTCCAATCTTACAGGTTTTACAGTCTACCCAGAAAAACCAGTGTTTGTACCTACTCGAGAAATTGAATACTTAGTTTTCATGTTAAATTCAGAAGACATGACAACCAGATTAACTGACAAAAAGACAGATAAGGAACACAATGTCTGTTCAACCTTGCTTGTGGGTACAAACATAGTATTCAATCAATAGCTCCATGTATTGGGGTATTAGTGTCAAGTTTTCCAGGGGTGCTGTATGGTACTTTACATTATAGGTCTCTAGAGGAAGATAACATTCTTGCACTTAAAGTTGCACATGGTAGTTATATGGCTCATATGTCACTTTCACCACGGAGTAAAGTAGACCTAGAATGGTGGGTGAATAATGTACATACCGCCCTAAACCCTATTTCCCATGGTATACCCACTGTCATCCTTACCTCCGATGCATTTAAAAAAGGATGGGGTGGCGCATTATTTGATAATGATGGGAAGGTCAAACTTAAAGCAGGTGGACGATGATCTCCTGAGGAAAGCCTTGATCACATTAATTATCTGGAGTTGAAAGCAGCATGGTTTACATGTCAGGCATTGTGTAGAGACCTACATCATGTACATATTCGACTGAACATTGACAATACAACGGCTATTGCATACATTTCTAACATGGGGGGAAAGAAAACAAAAGCCCGTAATGAGTTGGCTGTAAAACTCTGGAATTGGGCTATTGATAGGCATATATGGTTACCCGCAGCCCACACTCCAGGTCGTGGAAATGTTAAGGCTGATACGAAAAGTAGACATGAACATGAAAATACAGATATTTTTCAAATCTTGGTGACCACAAATTGATTTGTTTGCTTCCAGACTGAATCCACAGCTTCCTAAGTATCTATCTTGGAAGCCTGATCCCTTTGCATGTGCAGTGGATGCTTTTACATTACCATGGAACTCATACAGTTTAATTTTTCCGCCATTCTCTTTATTGGGTAAAATTCGACACAAAATATGTGAGGATAAAACACAAGCTTTATTAATAGCACCAATGTGGCCTACTCAGCCATGGTATTAACATCTTCTGAACTGTATTCATTGTGTTTTTATTTTACCTACGGTCAACAGAATCCTCAGACATCCATTCCGAGGAACCAGGGACAGGAACAACCTTCCAAAGATGACATTAATGGCTTGTTGGGTGTCAGGAGATCCCTCCAAATGTTGTCAATTCCGCCAGATGTTGAATAGATCATATTGTCATCATGGCGACCATCAACAGTCATGCAGTATTCAACACTTTTTAAAAAAATGGACAACATTTGCGAGTTTGGAACACATTTGTGTCGTTTCGCCTAATATAAGAGATTGTGATTTTTAACATCACTTTACCACAAAGGACTTGGTTATAGTGCCATTAACAGCGCTAGGTCGATGTTGTCCACATTTGTTGTTATTAATAACCAAGGTAATGGCACTCATCCCTTAATCAAGAGATTTATGGAAGGAGTTTTCAATTTATGATCGGCTTTTCCCAGGAACAATGTTTCATGGTTTGTTGGTATTATTAACAGGCCAACGACTACAATCCCTTCATTTGTTGGATATAAAGAACATTTCCCTAACAGTCTGAAACTTATATTTGGAGATGCACTAAAACAGACTCGCCCAGGTTTAAAACAAAGGGAGATAACCCTTTCGCAGATTGAGGACAAACAGCCATGTGTTGTGTCAATATGTTAAAACTACCTAACAAGAACTGAACCTCTTAAAGACAACACTCAAAACTGTTTTTGGTGTTTCAAAAGCCTTACAAATCAGTGTCTAAAGCAACATTAACAAGATGGATTAAGACAACGTTGGCTAGTGCTGGTATAGATATGAATATCTTAACACCGCATAGCACAAGAGCAGCATCAGTTTCTGCAGCATCTAGACTAAAGGTACCAATAACCTCAATATTAAGTACAGCTGGATGGAGCAATACCAGCACGTTTGCAAAGTTTTACAAAAACCTTTTGGGGATTCTAGCACGGTTTTCAAGATTCATTGACATTTATGTGATGTTCGAACTTTGTGATCTTTCTGTATTGACATGAATGGAGTACCCGTGAGATCGTACAGCAGAGACAAATTCTATTAGTGAATGACAGTTGATGGAATTATCTCAATTGAGTTGTTTATGCAGTTTTACTGTTAAGATTGTGTGTCCATCGTTCTACAGGGAGCTCCGTACTATGGAACTATGTTCATGACATTTGGTATACATGTGCCAAAGGAAGTAGGACTCAAGGAACTGATCTCTAGTCACTGATCATCATTTGAACTTTTCATACAGACTTATCATCAACGATATTGACAATTTAACGTTTCATTTTGCATTGACAAGTGCGAGTAGTTTGTAGACTCTTTCCTTGTGTGCAACAGATTTTATGACATTATAATCTTGAGTGATACAGCTATTATCTGACATTTTCTTCTAAGCACCCCCAGATTTTTTGGACAGGGTTGAAAATACCATAACTGAGAATCAATAGTTTCTGCACAAATACCGTTGAAAATGTTAATTCTGTATTTGTACGACTGTAAACTCGTAATCTAGATTATAAATGACGACATGAATTCAATATTTGATATTTTATCAGCAGTAATTTAAAATTGAAACTTTTCATCAAATTTAGTAACCAAAATATGTTTTCATCTTAACGAAAACCAGTCAATCTTTTATCATCAAAAAAGTGATGCAATAATTAGTGATACATCTCTCTTTGTTAACACAAATATTTGTTAGTATCGGGTGTAACCGCCCCTTGCACGAATGCAAGTTTCAACACGTCTCCTCATACTGGTGATGAGTCTGATTTACATTTGGGGGATGTTATCCCATTCCTCCCGAAGAGTCTGTGCAAGTTCTGCCAGATTTTGCACACCAGGGACTCGTGCTCGCACACGGTGGCCTAAAGTATCCCATAAATGTTCTATGGGATTTAGATCAGGGCTTCTCGCCGGCCAAGGAAGAGTGTCAATGGCGTTACGCTAAAGATATTCCCTAACTGCAAGGGCTCGGTGAGGTCTGGCATTATCGTCCATTAGGATGGGTCGGCTCGCCAGCGTATGGTTATCAAAATGAGGCACAATTTCTGTTTGAAGGATCTGATTCTGGTACTTTCGCCATTGAGGCTGCCTTGGACTTGGACGAGATCAAGTTTACAATCATATGAACAGCAACCCCATACCATCACAGACCCACCACCATATGGAATTTCTGGCTGGATGTTATGTTGATGGTAGGCAGTACCTCGTGGTCGCCATATCCGGCTTCTCCAGTCAATAACGTGCAAAAGACTTTCATCAGACCAATGAACACGTCTCCATGACCGAATATTCCGACCGCGCCGTGTGTTGCACCGCTGCAATCGGTCCTGGATATGTCTCTGGGTGAGAAGAGGACGTCGGATAGGACGACGTGAAGAAAGTCCAACAGCTATTAGTCTCCGCTTCAACGTGCGGGCGTTGACTTGCCGATCTTGGCTCCTGCCTAGCCAGTCTCAAAAGCATTCTGTCATCACGAGCAGTTGTTTTTCTGGGTCTTCCACTTCGTTGTCGATCTTGGACATTCCCAGTAGCCACGTGCTTTCGTATTAGACGACTGATGACGGTGTGGGTAATATTGAGTTGTCGTCCAATTTCCCTACATGACATTCCCGTATTATGCATGCCAATGATTTGCCACCTTTCATTGTTACTAATTCGTCGTCTAGGCATAGCTGCACGCGGTATACAATCGATAAAAGACTTTGAAAACACTTTGAAAAATGTAGGTGTGAACTTAGTTTTTTTACAGGCGTAGGATCACCTTGTAACAGCGAATTTTACCTGGCACGTGCATATCATGCACAAGGGTTTACGCGTGTTACATCTCTATAAAATGACCTCGTTTTAAGCAGTGTTGACAATCTACCTGAATGTGTGATTTCTGGTTCAGATTTCAAATTTGAAGATGGCGGTGCTTAACTTTTGAGCGGGTGTATATATATGTTCTTGTATGTACATATGTTTGAGTTATTCAATATAACATTTAATTTTATTCCATGAATTTCTTATTTGTTCGTGAACACTCTCTTTGCAAATCTCATGGGATCCCGGATGTACCATCCAGGAGTGAATGACAGAATTTGAAAGAAGTTGAAATTTGATTGTAATTCTGTCTTCACTCCTTGAGGTGCATCGGGATCACATGCCCTCCCCTTTCCCCCATTCCTTTCTTGGGATATCTTGAAACGCTGTGTTTTTATAGTTGGTTTCTATACCTGATCCAGTTAGTACTTGGTAGTGTTCACTTATATCTTTGAAGTATGACTGCTAACGATGCGCACGCATATGATCATGTGATCCCGATGCACCTCCAGGTGTGAAGACAGAAATTTTAACATGCAACTTACAGGTAAATCTCATTTAATTCTAATATTAAAACAAATTAAGGTTAAAGAAGGCAAATCCTCATTGATAACAGTGTTTATATTTCTTATCTAATTGGATTTCGAAACACATTCCCAATCGATCATGTCAATATCATAGTGGTTTTCCCATTTCTGCATCTGTTTTTTTGTTTTGTTTTTTGTTTGTTTGTTAATTTCCAAACAAATATGGGTAGTCGGGTGGTGCAGTGGAAACGCACTCGCCTTTCATCTAGCCGTCCTGAGTTCGATTCCCGGAACGGACGTGATAAAGGTTCATCTGCCCGATCACGTGGGTTATTCCTGGTTACTTCGGATTCCTCCCACAGCGATGCGCTGAACGCACTTTCATCCGGGCCAACAAGAGTGATCGATACAAGCCGATAGCTTGTTTCGCAAATACAGTCAAACTTCGATGTTACGAAGTTCAAGGGACTACCAAAAAAAACTTCGATACAGCGAGACTTTGAATCATTTGAGGTGATTTATATCGACGTTTTCATGTTCATGGCTATATATAGTTGATGACATGATATTTCTACCTGAACAAACACAACAAATACCAAAACACAAGATTAAATGAAAAGATGCATTTTTCACTTTTATTCATTTCATGTAACACAGTATATGCATTTTAAATGAGACGCCGCGCAGCATTAAAGTGGTCTTCACGTGTTACAGTAATTATTTTAAGATTGATACATAAACGTTATAGGCACTAATGAATTTAAAAGAAAGCACATTAATATCATAATGTATTCTGTCCAGAACCGACAGCACTAACATTTTTTGATGATTTTGAAAATGACTTTATTGCTAACGGTATTAGGCCGTATGATTTTGGAGAACTCGGTCTCTTTTTATTAATGTATGCGGATGATTTGGTGCTACTTGCAGAATCAGCCAATGAGCTACAGAATATGTTAATTAGTTTGTCTATATATGCGAATTCATGGAACTTGACCGTTAACACGGCAAAAACTAAGATTGTTGTCTTTAGAAATGGAGGCCGCTTACGTAATAACGAGGAATGGTTCTTCGATGGAAACAAATTAGAAGTCGTTGAACAGTTTACTTATTTAGGTATCGTTTTTAAATGGAACAATAAATTTAATGTTGTACAAAAGCAATTATCCGGGCAAGGTCGAAAGTCAGTATTTGCCTTATATACAAAATGTAAAAATTTGAATTTAAACTGCCATACCTTGATTAAACTTTTTGATACATATGTTAACAGTATACTGTGTTACGCATCTGAGGTATGGGGCTCGTGCAAAGGCATAGATATTGAGAAAGTTCACCTGGAATTTTGCAAAAGGATATTATGTGTTAAGAAGTCAACATGAAATATTAGAGAATTCCTCGAAATGTTTTTTGTATAGACATTTAGTTGATAATTTAACATTGCAACAATATCTATGTAAATATATACCAAAGCGAAATAGAATTGCTCTAACTAGATTACGTTTATCAGCGCATATGCTGTATAGTGAAACCGGGAGATACCGAAACATTGTTAGAAATGAACGTATATGCAGAATTTGTAATTCTGAAGATATTGAAGACGAATATCATTTTTTGTTTATTTGTCCATTTTATCAAGCTTTAAGAGAGAGGCGTATAAAATTGTATTACTGGAAAAAACCATCAGTTTTCAAGCTGATACAATTATTGAGTACAACGAACTTTAAAGAATTAACTATGTTAAGTAAATATATATATGATGCCACCCAGTTGAGGAATAGCATGATATAATGTTAAAATAGATGTAACTACATGCATTTTCTGTCCATTCTCCACTGCGGTATTGCATTGCCTGCCACTGTATTTATATGTATTGTGTACATACTGATGAGCTGTAAAGCTCAAAGTCAATAAATGAATTTGAATTTGAACATCACATATATTGGTCCGTAGAAATTACAACAGTGTTTACCGATGTTCTGACAATGGCTAACCTGAATCCTAGGATTTCCTCCAATTGTTTTCAAAATTCTGTAAGTTAGACCTAAGTAAATGCCATCACCACAATGATGGTGGTGAACAGCACAGGACTTCCCATTATCTATGATTAGATACCATGGTTTGTAGGTAAGCAATTAAATTTTAATCTGTGTCCAGTCATTAACTAACCCCGTAACACAGATCCAATGTAGCTGGCTGTTGTAATCCTATTGTCAAGTAGCACTCTTCATGGAAATGTGTGAATTTTGCCGCTGGGCGAAAATATCCGTACAGTACAAAAAGTTTATATATAACATTTCTGAATGTTTAGGTGTTACTTGTACTAATATTTCTTATGAATTATATACAAATGTTCAGTGATAATGGTAGTATCCTTATCATCGTTATTATCATGTTTAAGAATTTATTTTACAGTTGCGTGTTTTCTTCTTCTTATATTTTCTTATGTAAACATTGATATCCAGTTCTACTTCAGAATTACCTTACTTTATAGAGTTTCTGCAGAATTTTTCTATGGGAGTCCACAAGTACAATATACTTTTGTCATTTAACTTTTACACAGATGTTTCAGGAATAGTGGTTTGTTTTATACATAAATATCTTTGTTTTCCAAATAAATTTCTTGTTACCTAAACCTTAACCTTTTATAGTGTTGTACGTGCATAAAAATCATGTTTATTGAACGTTTGATCGTAAGTGTGAAGCCAATGGTTTTCTACTATATTCCAAGCTTTCATCACTATGTACGAGCTGGTATATCATTTTATTTTTAAATACTGCCAATCACATATATATCTAGCATATGTAGGCAACCCTTTGATAGTGATCGTTGCAAGGCATTTGTTTTTGAAATCTAAGTTTTTTTTCCAATTCGATAAGAATTCATATATTGAATATTATTCTTCTCTATATACATCAGTCTCTTGAGATACTTTATATACATCAGTCTCTTGAGATACTCTACATACATCAGTCTCTTGAGATACTTTATATACATCAGTCTCTTGAGATACTCTACATACATCAGTCTCTTGAGATACTTTATATACATCAGTCTCTTGAGATACTTTATATACATCAGTCTCTTGAGATACTTTATATACATCAGTCTCTTGAGATACTCTATATACATCAGTCTCTTGAGATACTCTATATACATCAGTCTCTTGAGATATTTTATATACATCAGTCTCTTGAGATACTCTATATACATCAGTCTCTTGAGATACTTTATATACATCAGTCTCTTGAGATACTCTATATACATCAGTCTCTTGAGATACTTTATATACATCAGTCTCTTGAGATACTTTATATACATCAGTCTCTTGAGATACTTTATATACATCAGTCTCTACATCAGTCTCTTGAGATACTCTATATACATCAGTCTCTTGAGATACTCTATATAGATACTCTATATACATCAGTCTCTTGAGATACTCTATATACATCAGTCTCTTGAGATACTCTATATACATCAGTCTCTTGAGATACTTTATATACATCAGTCTCTTGAGATACTCTTTATACATCAGTCTCTTGAGATACTCTATATACATCAGTCTCTTGAGATACTTTATATACATCAGTCTCTTTAGATACTTTATATACATCAGTCTCTTGAGATACTCTATATACATCAGTCTCTAGATACTTTATATACTCTCTATACATCAGTCTCTTGAGATACTCTATATACATCAGTCTCTTGAGATACTCTATATACATCAGTCTCTTGAGATACTCTATATACATCAGTCTCTTGAGAGACTTTATATACATCAGTCTCTTGAGATACTCTATATACATCAGTCTCTTGAGATACTCTATATACATCAGTCTCTTGAGATACTCTATATACATCAGTCTCTTGAGATACTCTATATACATCAGTCTCTTGAGATATTTTATATACATCAGTCTCTTGAGATACTCTATATACATCAGTCTCTTGAGATACTTTATATACATCAGTCTCTTGAGATACTCTATATACATCAGTCTCTTGAGATACTTTATATACATCAGTCTCTTGAGATACTTTATATACATCAGTCTCTTGAGATACTTTATATACATCAGTCTCTTGAGATACTCTATATACATCAGTCTCTTGAGATACTATATATACATCAGTCTCTACATCAGTCTCTTGAGATACTCTATATACATCAGTCTCTTGAGATACTCTATATACATCAGTCTCTTGAGATATTCTATATACATCAGTCTCTTGAGATATTTTATATACATCAGTCTCTTGAGATACTCTATATACATCAGTCTCTTGAGATACTTTATATACATCAGTCTCTTGAGATACTCTATATACATAGTCTC